ACGGTGCTCGCGCTCAAGTGTTTGAAAACGTGCTTTATGGATATCAACCAAGAAAAGGGGCCCCGCAAACGAACGATTCTACACTATTGGTAAGTTTGCTCATAAACACGTTGAATTTAACATCTCTCTCAAAAATCAGCTTTATCTTACAAACCAGCCAATAGGCAAACATCAGCCAGTTTTTTTTCGGTAATAGATACAGTCCACTAAACCTCAACACCAATGTACACTGGATGTACCTATAAAGTGTACCGGAACATGTCAATATAAAATTATGGGTTATACCCCCACTTTTTATGTCGATAACAATAAAAAAGTCAGCCAGACTGGGAAATTAACTAAAAAATTAAAAAAAGTTTTAAAAAACATTTTAGAGATACCCCCTGACGAGAATCAAAAAGTCCTATATGAAGCTACCCCTATAAATGGGGCCCGGCTGATAAATTGACTTTAAAAAAACGTAATGGGGAATTTTTTTAGGGATACCCCCACTTTTTATCGGGTCATCAGTTAGTACTTTAGGATAGGATAAAAAAACTCTATGGACTTATAAGTATACTTATAAGTATAAGGGTATACCCTCTTTAATTGGGACTCGACTGGGAAGTTGACTTAAAAGAAACGTAAACATTTAGAGATTTTTTTTTTCAGGGATACCCCCTTTTTATCTGGGAATCGGATAGTACTCTCGACGAGGATAAAACAGTCCTATATAAATCTACCCCCTATATTTGGGGCCCGACTGGTAAATTGACGTTTAAAAATTAAAAAATGTATACATTTGGAAAAAAGTTTTTTGCAGGGATACCCCCACTTTTTATCGGGTAATCGAATAGTACTCTCGACGAGGATCAAAAAGTCCAATATGAAGGTACTCTTTATATTTGAAGCCCGACTGGTAAATTGACCTTTAAAACTTAAAGTTATTAAGTAATTAAGGTAAAATTTTTGAAAAAAGGTTTTGCAGGGAAATCTTAATTTTTAATTGCGTAATCGGATAGTACTCTCGACAAGGATAAAAAATCCCATATTGACCTAACCTATATCATTTACACCCGACTGGTAAATTGACTTTTATAAATTTTGAAAAAAGGTTTTGCAGGGAAATCTTAATTTTTAATTGCGTAATCGGATAGTACTCTCGACAAGGATAAAAAATCCCATATTGACCTAACCTATATCATTTACACCCGACTGGTAAATTGACTTTTATAAATTAAAAAACGTAAAAATTTAGAAAAAGTATTTTGGAGGGATACCTCCACTTTTTATAAGGATAGTACTCTCGGCGAGGATCAAAAAGTCCTATATGAAGTTACCTCCTATATTTGGGGCCAGACTGGTAAATTGACTTTGAAAAATTAAAGAAACCTCAAAATTTGAGAAACAAATTTTTGTTAAGCATACCTCCACTTTTATCGGGTCATCAGTAAGTACTTTTGGATAGGATAAAAAGATCTCATATGGGCTTACACTTTAATGTATAATTCGGGCCTGTCGGGGACTTTGGGAAAACATTTTTATCAGCGATGCCCCCACTTCGGGTAATCGGATAGTAGTTTCGGGTAATCGGATAGTAGTTTCGACGAGGATAAAAAAGTCCTATATGGACCTTACCCACTTTAATTGGGGCCCAAATTTAAAAAAACGTAAAAAAATTTTACCTGCATTAAATCTTAAATTATGTATATCAGGTCGAAGATGATTGGTTTCTTACTGTACAATTGCAAGCCCCAAGGCGCAAGCTTTAATTACTGCTTTGTCATCCGGCGTGGCTGATAGCGACCTCAAGCCGAATTATAAAATAAGAGGAAATCGTTTATTTAAAATTACAACAAATACCGGAAAGTTGTATATTTCGGCGATGACGCGATTTAATTTATTACAGAAACATCAAGATGACATTGGACATCCAGGGTTTGCTCGGTGTTTGGCGCTTCTACAAGAAACTTACTGGTTTCCAAAAATGCGGCGATTTGTACTTACGGTGTTCATTTGCAAAAGGTAATTATGGGAGAGGCGAAGGCGTACTGTATCCAATCGAACGGCGACCAATTCCTTTTGATACAGTCCACATAGACCATCTAGGCCCATTCTTGAAGAGCTTGCGAGGAAACTCGTACCTTCTCGTATTGGTGGATGGTTTCACAAAGTTTGTGAGTTTGGGTATCCGCGGCGAATTATAAGCGATAGGGGATTGGCGTTTACTATTAAAGTATTTGGCGAATTCCTCCTGGCGCATGGAGTGAAACATGTACTTAATGCGATTGCAACACCTAGGGCGAACGGACAGGTGGAGCGCGCGAATCGTACAATTATTCAAGCACTAGCTGCTAGTGCTGAGACTGAAGGTAGGTGGGACAAGAAGCTGCCCGACATTGTCTGGGGCCTTAATAATACAGTCAATGTGAGCACGCATTTCTCTCCTGCTCATCTGATGTTCTCACATAATCACGGAATAGTAGCTGATTTGGCCAACGGCGAACTTGCAAGTAAAACAGGCGCGGATGGCGAAAATCCGAATGGCAACGGTGAAACTGCCATGGAGACGGACGATGTTGCTGCGGCGAGCCACGGCGAAGGGAATGCGGACAATCGGTGAGGCGTACTAGCAGGCTAACAGCATCCCGGGCTCCCTTGTGCGACTAAAACGGGCGCGGTAGTAAAGCGGGCAATCGGTGATAAGCTACAGGTGATCAGTGATGCGGCGTTGGCGAATACTAATATGCCGCTCTTTAGGCGCGTGCAGAAAGCAAATTAGCATCTGTTTTTATGGCAAGCATGTTAATTTATTTTAGATGAAATTAATTAGTAGATAATAACTACTAGTTATATTAGATAGCAGTCACTGCTAAGCAGTGTCTGTGTTCTATAAATTTTGCCCTATGTTTTAAGGTATTTATGAAATTTTATTATTAAAATAATTGTTATAAACCAGCAGTACATGATTAGGCGCGTGCTGGACTAATAACTGGGCACTTGTAACGCGTTTCTGGTATGGTTAATAGAAAAATATTTGAGTATGAGTATGAGTATAAGAGACGTATAACCAGCCCCATTTCCTCTTGACTCTCGAACCCCGTACAGGCCTATGTTTACTTACGCCGATTTTTGTTCTTCCCCAGCAACTGCACGGCTTCACCCGTGTTTGCTGGGTGCGAATGTCCATTGCGTTCCGTACTGTCCCCTATTTGGGGCTCGAGAGCGAGAGGCGAATAGTTTTAATAGCCTTTCCCGGGTTCGCCGAGCCTATGCTATACGCTCAGTGGGGTATGGAGGAGGGACGGGAGGGTGTTGGTTTTTGGGGGACAATTACGCCGACTTAAAACTAAGTACGACGCGGAATCCCCCTAGACCAGTCGATTAGTATTACTCCAAACATTTGGGATTACTATTTGGAGTTGGGGAGTTGTTATTTCGCTGCAGGGGTGTAGTTTCCTAGTCGAGGTCTTTGTCTTGTTCGTTATTGTCATTGTCCGTGTCCTGGTCAGATAGTTCCTGCCCTTGGTAAAGTGTGTCAGTTGTTTTTAATAAATTTTGTCCCAAGCACGTTTTGTGGTAGAGTTCTGTCTTTCTTTATTAAATTCCAAAATTAAGCGTTGCATTTATTCATTAGTGAAACAAATTACAAGCGCGATTATTCTGTTGTCTAATGTTTACAATTCGAGTTTGGCTATTAGGCCTTTTTTTAATGTGTTAGAATTATGATCAATGTTAGTTTACTCTGTGAGTCCAGTGTTTATTTTCGGTCTCGATTGGGACCGCCTTACGCATTTGCTGTTGACAGACTTATTGCCCCACGCCGCCTGCCCTTCATAGGTTTAAAAGATATCCCAATAGACACCTTAACGATACCTATCACCATTAACATTGCCCGTGTAAGAATTTTTAATACTTTTTAATACAATTTTGCAATGATAGTAATTAAAAACAAAACAATTGTTTAAAGAGTAAAATATGTTCTTAACATAATCATATTTTAAAGTTATTTTAACATTTTCAAGTAAAATAAATGTTATGTTTAATAAAATGAGTACGGGCAATGTTAATGGTGACAAATAACGGAATATGCTTGCTGGGATCTGCCGTATTTAAATTGCAGATTTGTATCAGGTCATGCATACTCTTAAAGTAACTTATCAGCTTTTTTTTTGCGGATGGCCACCTCCCCTCTTGTTTGACCTCCCCTGTCCGTCCAGTGAAAAGCCTCCAATGACAGGTGGCACTTAACTCATTCATATCACTCAACACTCCACTCCTCAATGACCGTTACACCATTTTAGTTTGCACTCTATGAAAATGTTTGTTTCACTTATTAGTTTGCACCTTTTTTTTTAATTATTGTTGGTTTTATCTTTAAACTTTTACGTTTCAAGAGCTTTCCCGCACGCGACGTGTCTTCTCGAGCGCTGGAACCGAACTAAAAGAAAAATATTTTTTACACAAATTTTATACTGTTATATTTCTTTTGAAATTACCCCTGTCTCTTTCTCTCTCTCTCTCACACACACACACACACAACTAAATTTTATTACATTCCCTAGTTTATACAACTAAAATTTCTCACATTCCCTAGTTTATAAGAAGTTTTACTTCTACATGTACGATGCTGCACATGATTTTTTTCATATATAGGCTTTTAAAAAAAGTATGAGCTGTTGCAGAGAGATGTTTATACAAAAACACGCGTCTAACTATCTGAAAAAGTGCTGCTATAGAGACTATAAAAAGTATGTTTTGCGGCTTTGCCCAGGGCTAATCTTGGTTAAAAATAAAAGGTTAAAGGTATGTATTAGAATATTTTTTTCTTTTAGAAATCAATAATGCTTAAAAATAATATTTAATTTTTGTTTATTTTAGTATACAGTTAGCCTAACTATAAATAACTACACTAGGTAACAATAAAAACATGTTTTATATGAGCTGCCCTAACGACCTGCTGGTAATAAATTATTTGAGTTAACCTCATGAATTTTTTAAAACAAAAAATTACAAAATACATGAGAATCTCATGATGAGATTAAAAATTTTAACATTAACTTTATAAATATAATAATTATTTTAATGCTAAAGTAATGATAACACCATATAGCAAAATTGTTAGAGACTTTAAATACCTTCCAACTTTACAGTCTAGTGTATTGTATGTAAACCACCCATTGTTTGTTTATTTACAATGACAATTTTCCATTAAATTATAAACGGTCATGTAAGAAGTTTTAAAAATCCTAAAAAATATTTTATTAAACACATTTTACAAATAATAGTTAATTCTTAAACTCTTAAAATTATAACAGCGTGTTATAAATGAAACAAATTTAAATAATCATAAATATCTACTCTATATGATAGATATATTGTAGAAAATATTGTGTTAAAATAACTACGGTATTAATAATTGCTTAATTTTTAAATGTAATTTTGGCCCTGCCTTAAAGGTACATTTAAGACAGGGCCGCATTAAGGCAAAAGGGGGCCTGTAGCTAAAAATGTACTGGGCCCTCTTTATTAAAAGAAAAATATAATTTTTAGTGTTAATAATATTAATAAAAATTGGTCTTTATTAAGTAAATACATGCACAAAATATATAATATATTTTTAATTTATAATGGTATAATCTTACTCTACCCATACTAGCTCTATAGTTATTTTTTATAAGTGATTGTTATCAAAAACCATAAATTAAATTAAAAGATGCTAAATTTATTTTTCTTAAAAAATATGTACCTAGGTAGGTACTTAGTATTTTTTATGCATTTTCATTGCTTAACTTATTACAAGTTTAAACTTTATAAAAACTATTTAATATAAAAAAGTGGCAAAAAATATCGAAGTGTGGGGAGGTCTCTGGATAGTGCATCACCATACAAATAATTTTTTTTGGCAATAATAAAAATATTTTTTTGATTTTTATTTTTTATAGGTATATTAAAAATAATATTTAAGTTTAAAATCTGTCTGTTAAACAAATCAAATTTTTAGTCCAAATTTTAATTTGCCCATTTTTTGAAATTAATTTTTATTCAACCGTTTAAAAATAAAATCAGATTCAACAAACTCCTAATGCTTGTTGGCAAAAGTTTGAGATTAGATTTTGCCCACTCAATAAACTATTGGAAATATAATATAATAATGTGGCAAAAATAACCATTGCTGTTGTCAAAGTAACCCGTGAGGTACACACAGTGCTCCTGAAGGGTCGGCAGGTTTCTTTATTGACATATCTTGATTAAGGGCACCTTCCTAAAAATATATCTAATAACCTTTAAACTGTACCTGCTTCTTACCGTGTTTTTTAAGCGTTCTTGTAATTTTTAGGAAAATTGTATACAAAATTCAATTCTATGATGGTTATTTTATTAATAAGCTTCAAGGACATAATTTTTTTCTATTATAAATAAAATATCTGATGATTAACACAAAAAGTACATTTCCTAACACTCTATTAAGATAAAAAAAAATATCGAAAAAAAAACCCGCGAAAAGCATCAAAGATAGCCATGGTCTCGGCAGAAGTTAGTATTTTGTTCGCTATTTGACGCATTGACACTATTATAGAGAAAATGTGAGCAATAAATATAAAAAAACTGTTTAACTTGTACAAACTGGAGAACTTTGCTTTTGAAACCTCCAAAAGTTCGCAATCTCTTAGACCAGTTGTGTATGCTGATGCAAAAGAACTAGTAGAGAAGGTAAGCTTAATGAAAGAGTTTTCAACTGATTTGTTAACTTCAATGAGCAAAACACAAATATTTGTTTTCTTTTGTAGGTGATAGAAGATAGAGGTGAAGTTGGAAAAATGAAAGTGAAGGTTCTGGCAGATGGCGGACAAAATTTCTTCAAAATCTGCTTGTCAATTACAAAGATGGAGGGCGCATGTCGAAGAATATTAAGCCAACTGGAGTAAAGAAATCATTTTATGTATGGTTCCTAATATAAAAGAAACCTATCAGAACATTTCGTTACTTTTTAAGTTAACTAACCTTAATAATATTTCATTTAAATTTGTGTCTAATCTTAAGATTAATTTAATAATCAACGGCTTATAAACTGCAACCGCCTCTTTTCCCTGTCCGTATTTCATTATTTCTTTACAAGATCGGGGGGTGACAATTCTTTTCAACATGACGCCAAAACCTATCGCAATTTAAGAGAAATTCACGTTAAACTGCTTCAGTACAATCAATAAACCCTTGTTGACTGAAGAGGACGATTTGAGAGTGCTAGAGAAATGTATCACTCCCGAGCTTAAACTGCTTCAAGGTTTTGTAAATCATTTATTTGGGCTTAGTACCACCACTCCTTGGGCGAGAGACAGCGTTAACGTGGCCAAAAAAACTGCACCTTATTTCTAAAAACTACCAGGGTGAGATTTTTGAAGACAACGCATGCAACTTATCTCGCTAACCACCGATCCAAACAATCATATTTATGTTCTACAGTATGTCGCTGCTTTTAATGCTTTTAATAAAATTGTTGAGAAATTTTTCTCTTCTCATGTATGCTATGTTGATCTACACACAGATATAAAGCATTTAACAAGCATAATGAGACAATTAGAAATTTCTCAAACGCTCAAAATCCATAAATCATGTACATAAAACAGTTATGTTCCTTTTAAAGCGGGCTAGGACTATGTTCGGAGCAGGTGGGGGAGTCGGTCCACAAGGATTTTTAAATTATTTGGAATATATATAAAATAAGCTCTTTTGAGAATGCACACTATGGAAAAAATCTTTTAAAGGCTATTAAAGAGTATTCATCAAATCACTGTTGAATCAAAGCCGTTTTTTCCATATTTTTGTTACATTCGTAGAATTAATTGATTAACTTTGTTGTGATAACTATATTTTTTACATAATGTAGATATTTTCTAATAGAATTACATGTTTGTGTTATTTATAATATAGTTTTACAAAATGTTATTGTTGATATACATAGTTGTCGATATAATTCCTAATATGTACCTACTACTATATATTTTCTGTTAATGGGATGTTATTTTTGACTAAAATTTAGAATAAATATATAATAATTTTGTATAGTATTTGTATACAACAAATTGATTATTTAGAATTTCCGTGGACTTATTTCTTATTGGTAATTATATTTGAAATAATTGTCTGTAGGTATAACACAATTGCTATACATGCACAAGTGGATGTTTAACTGGAGTTTAACAATGACATTGACGTTAGCATTGCATAGTGGATTAGTGTTCTGTACATAAATGTGTAGAAGGCCTTACTTCTTTATTTATTATCAGGATGTCTGGATATTCATTTTTGTAAATTTTCTATATTTCAACGTGACAACAAGTGTCTTCTTCTTCTTCTTTTTAAACTTATCTACGTTACAGGGTTCTTCCTGATCGGTATTGCATTGTTGCCAACACTAAGAAAATATTTAAAATAATAAATTTCACAACAGTTCAGCCTTCCTGACCTTGATCGATCTTGATCAACTTGAAAGTAAAATTTATTACCAAATCGGAAATACAAGAACACACATAAATCAATATCAATAAATGGCTCATAAAATACATAAGACATAAGTTCATAAAATAAATAAGACATAAGTTCTTAAAATACACAAAACATAAGTTCATAAAATACATAAGACTTAAGTTCTTAAAATACATAAGACATAAGTTCATAAAATACACAAAATAATTGTGGATCATTTTTAATCAGTTAAACTTTACTACTTACTATTTCCTAGGCCAATATTTCATTTAATGAGGTCCACAGGCATTGTTAAAAGGCCTCTGTGTTAACTGAAACCCATCTATATCACCTATTGCATAACGATAATTATCTAAGACTTTTTTGACTTCGTAAGGACCTTTATACTTTGGTAAAAGATTTGTATTATATCCCGAATGAATATCATATGACTTAATAACAACTTTGTCACCCTCCTTATACTTTACAGGAGCTATCCGCTTACTGCCATAATATTTTTGGTTTTTAATCACGATCTTTTTAATGTGATTTACTGCATGACTTCTTATTTGAGATAGATTTCTTTTATTATATTGCATCACATTGCGCACCTCCAAATAAAACTTTAGAAGGTGTGTTCCCTATGGAACGATTAAAAGTATTATTTAGACTAAATTCAACTCTATGCAAAACCTTGTCCCATGAATCAGTTGATTCAACATATTTTGGTAAATCACGGTTGATTTTCTCAACTTGACCATTTGCATTGGGTGTATGTGTCTAATGATAAACACCTAACTCATTAAAAAAATCCCTAAAATCATTGGATATGAAACAGGTTCCTCGATCTGATATTATACGATTATAAACAGAAAAACAATGAAAATAATTTCTGAGATGATAACTTCATCAGAATTAGTTATCTTACAACAATAAAACCTTACAAATTTGGTAAATCAATGATTTCAAGAATATAGGTATATAGGTTGTTATTTCGGTTAGTCCTTTCTAAGGTACCATATTGATCGATGTGTATTGTTTGGAAAGACAGGTTTTCCTTGGGAATGGGATGTAAAAATCTTTCAGTCTTTCCGTAAGTTGGAGCATAAGTGATACATTTCAAGCAGTTTCATATAAAATTCTTTACATTAATTTTCATGTCCGGGAACAGTAAAAACTGTTAAAAATGTTTTTTAAAGTTTTTTCGACAGGAAAGTGACCATAGTGATCGTAAAAATTGTTAATAACACTATTTTCCATATCAGAAGGTACGTAAAAGAGGATATTGTCGCGAAATTTCATTTATACTAATCCATTCCTAAGCTCGTAATGTTTACTATCACTATTCTCCAACTGTTGCCTAATTTTAGAAATGATTGGATCAGTGGTCTGCTTAACAGAAATTAAGTGAAACAGAATAAGAATATTATGAGCTCGGCTTAAAGCGTCCACGTGACCCATCCTTGTACCCTGATCTTTATTCAATAGCAAAGTCATAATCCTGAAAGAATATTTCCCAACGGGAAATCCTAGCGTTAATGTTCTTTTTAGCCAGGGTGAATCTAAAACTGTTACAGTCAGTAACGACCTTGAATCGCATTCCATAAAGATAAGTATGAAACCGCTTTAAAGCATACACCACATCTAAACACTCCAGTTCAAACGAATGATACCTCGATTCAACCGGACTAAAAAAGAAAACTGGATAGAACTTATTGTCCGACTTCCTCTGTAACAGAACCGCTTCAAAACCTAAACCAGAAGCATCGCAATGAAGCTAAGTCTCTGCTGTGGGAGAATAAATGGACAAAAGTGATTGACTCGACAAACGGGACCTTAACAAATCAAAAGCTTGTCGTTAAAATTCAGAAAACTTAAATTCTGCATTCTTTTTATAAGATTATAAAGAGGTTTTGCTATGACGGAGAAATTTGTAATAAACCTACGAAAATAACGTCAAACCGAGAACCTATGAACTTCTTTAGTGGTCTTAGGAATTGGGTAATTTACAACATACATTATATTATCCGGGTTTGAACTTGCTTTAATGTGTCTAAATTATCCTCAATTTCCTCGGAAGCAATTAATACATCATCCAAATAGACCAAAATTCTGTTCTTATTAATTAAGTCATCAAAAATACCATCCAAAAATCTCATTAAAACCTGAGGTGCATTAGTCAATCCAAAACGACATCTCAAATATTTGAATTGACCTAAGGGAGTAATAAATGAAGTTTACTTGACAAACTCTTCAGACATTTTCAGATAAAAAAACCCATTTTTCAAGTCAAGGCAACTGAATTTTTTTTATTCAAATGATCGTCAATTATCGGGGATGGATAATTTTCTTTTTCGGTTACTTTATTCAAAACTCGATAGTTGACACATAAACGAATGCTTTGATCTTTTTTTCTTAGCAACACAATGGCACTTGGCCACACAAATTTTTGTTTTGTTTTGATCTGGGTGTCTGACCATATTTCTTATATGTTTTTGAGGTCGCAGAATCTGAATCCGAGGTCTATTTAACCCCATCACATCAGGATTTTGCCATAACCTCAAAAAATCTATTAAAAAATTTAAGCTATTAAACGCATATAACCCTAAACATTAAGTTGTTGTCTAAAAACCCAATCTCCTAAACCCTAAAACGCACTCAACCCCATAACCCCATGATCCACTTAACCCCATAATCTATTTAAACATATAATCCTTAGGATGAAATTGTAATCTAAACACCCAAGCTATTAAACCAATAAACCTTTTAACCCCATAACCACATAAACCACTTAATCCCATAACCTTGTAACCAATTTAATCCCATAACTCAGTGTACATCAACTCGAACAATTACGTATGTCAGACATTTAGCTTTTAAGATTAAAATCTTTCAAAGATAAACCTGTAAATAATATCCCCTTAACCTTATAACCCATTTAACCAAAAATATATCCACTTCGATAACCACGTATTTAGGCGTATATGAGACATTTAACTTAATATGTACGCGTATCTGTCAAAAATGCTCTAATTCTATGCACATTTATTCATGAGACTTTGTATATCAATGAAAAATGTCAGTGATAAATATCCATATTTTGGCATGTCATATTAAAAGATATTTTCTTTCAAAGAATGTAAAGTTTATTTTCTATGCAAAGCGATCTTGCGTGCGTCTGCATCCAGGGCACCTCCACGCGGTGACGGTGGGCAACGGAGCAATTCCGTTATCCGGATCATGGCTTTCGTGCCGTCATGGCAGACACACGTAGGAAACGTTTACGATGCAGGGAGTCGGAACCCCAGTATCGGCGGATGGTCAGGGTGGGAAAGCAGGCCGGGAGGCGTCGTCATCATGCAACCGCAGCTCTACATTGGTTGGTGACTTGGCTAATGTAGGGTACAATACTACAAGAAGAAGTCACAATTCATCTCACGACTTTGATAGCAATCGTGATGTGTTTTGTTACATTTGCTGTAAATACGAAGTTAATTCATTACGAAAACAAATAGATGATAATATCAAAGTCACATACAAGGAAATTTCCGGATTGCATATTGGTGAACATTCATGGGTTCCCAATATAATTTTTAATTCTTGTAGAGTAATGTTGAACCGTTTGAAAAAAGACAAAAAAGCAATTAAATTTTTCAGTCCATCAGAATGGAACGAACCTCTTTGTAAAGAAGATTGCTTTTTTTTGTTTAAATAAAGTAAGTAAGAATTTTAACATTAAGAACAAACACAAAATCGTTTATAAAACCGTTACATCAGTAAAGGCGCTAATTTTAACCAACAAAGACAAAAAAGAAACTCATCTCGAGCATAAGAGCGTAATTGGACATGCCGAAAGCGATAATACGGACAGCGCATTCGACACTAAAGCTCCAATGCTGGTTTTACAGCCTGAATTGAACGACCTCGTACAAAATTTGTATTTGCAAAGGACAGTGCGGAGTTTTAGCTTCATTTATGAAGCAGAGATAATTCCTAAAACCACATACCAAGGTTTCCTTGTATAGAAATCAAGAGTCAGGCTTTTGGAAATATTTTTCTAAGGATGAAGATCTGTTATTTTGCACTGACACTAACGGACTCATGAACGAATGGTGAATTGTTCTGTGAGATAAATGCAAAACCAAGATGGAAGCACCTGTCAAGATATGAAAACATTGATAAATGCAAGTGTTGCGGAAGAAAATATAATGAAATGTGCCATTATGCAAGCTTTAAATGTAGAAAATGTGGTAAAATGGGTCATCTAGAGGCGGTATGTACACAATCTTATAAAAACAACAATTATTTGAATGGAAGTTTGGACAAAAACACTAAACTTGAAGTCGATACTTTCCAATTAGAATGTTTAGATACAAATGCATTCAACATAAGAGTAGCAATAGATAATAAGCATTTTTTGTGGGCTATAGATACAGGAGCCTCGATAACCGTAATAAATAGTAAATTATACAAAGAAAAGGCTCACCTTGCCGGCTGTTTGCTGCCAGGGCCTCTTTATGGGTCAGCTATAAAAGTTTAAATAAATAAATTAAAGAAATATTTAATTTTTTTAAATATTTAATCTTAAAAAAAATAAAAATCCCAAAGAACTAAACGTATAAGTATTTTTTGTTTAAAATATTTATTAAATTCGTTGATTTTGAACATGCGCGAGAAATAAAATGCGGTTGTAGCGCCATCCATTAAACGCTTTTCCAAATGTTCATATTTGCTAAATTAATATTTGTTATATTCTAATTCTATGGTTATTTGGTTTGAAGGTTATGCAAAAATTATTTGTTAAAAATAGTTAAAATTTAACTATTTAAAAAAAATTAAATTTAATGCAATACGACAAAATATTAACTTTTTAGAATTACCATGGTGGATAAACAGGCAACCTGTATTTCAGTATAATAATAATTAATTACTTTTTATCGACAATATGGTTCTTTGAAAATTCGCACATGCGTAAAAACTTATTTTGGTTTATGTGTAGTTCTACGCATGTGCGAATTTTCAAAGAACCATCCCAGCAAACAGAGTCACGTTTCGAAAACGTGAAATTTACGTGTTTATAGTCCGTAAAGACGTATAAATTCGACGTTAATACTACGTACAAATAACGTTGGAATGTCGCGGTTCTAGGACGTCCTTTTTAGACGTAATATTATCGTCCTGATAAAACATGATATTCCATTCCCTAAAATGACGTATTATTTCCGTCCTGATAAAACGTGATATTGCAGTCGAGAAAGTTCTCGGCGTTGCCAACAGTGTTGCTAGGTCGTTTTTTTTAAAGCGGCTGACTTTGTTAAAGAAGGCGGGAGATTTAAATAAAAAACCGTAGTTTTTAATTTTTTAAATACTAAAACAAACATAGTCAACCATAGAACAACCCCAGTCAACATAACCAAAAAAAAATATATTGAATTTGTTAAGTGTTTAATTAATATTTTAACAAAGAAAACAAAACAAAACAAAAATATTATAAAGTTATTATTACTTATTTATAAATATAGTACCTAGTAGGTACTACCTACCTACCGAAAAATACGATCAAGTGCTTGCAATATTTTTAAAACGTATTATTCACGTAAATTACACGTTCTTTAAATTCTTCCTTCACGAAAAAATTAAATGTTTCATGCATTAAATTATTTAACTTAATTACCATTGCAATGGAAATTTCAAATACAATCTTGTGTTCTAGAACAGCAAAATAAATTACAAATAAATATGTTCGTTGACAAAATACGTTTTAAACACGTGATTTTTTAGTTACTAAAAACTCTCCGAAGTTCAACCTAATTTCAACGTGATATTTACGTCCCCTGACGTGACTCTGTTTGCTGGGATATTGTCGATAACGATAACTTTATCGTTTGTTAACGGAATTATAATTATATATATATATATATATATATATATATATATATATATATATATATATATATATATATATATATATAAACAGAAAATATTTAGGTAATTATTATTTAAATATTTTTTTAAAAGAATCCTAATAAGATATTATATATTATAGAATTACGAAAATGATCCTGCATATAAAAAGGTATAGAATTAGATATTTTTAAACCAAAATTAATTAAATATTTTCTGTTTTACTACCAAAAATTGCAGATACAGCCAGATACCTAATCCTTTTTTATTTGATTATCTTATGTCTGTCTATAGTATACACCTACAATGTAGGTCCTACATGTCAAAAATTTAAATTTAAAAAATACTATGTATAATATACATTATATTATAATGTGTTTAAAAGTACTATGATAAACTAATTTAAAAATTACCTAAGGGTAATAATAAACTTTTTACTCATTGTAAAGTGGGCCATTAAAATCGTTTGCGGGGGGGCCCAATTTGTTACGAAACTGGTTAAACGGAGGACAACTGTTCAGTAAGTTGGACCTGAACAAGGCTTATACCCAGTTTGAGTTAGAGGAGCCAGCACAGGAATTAACAACATGGAGCATTCACAAAGTGCTATACAAAATGAAGAGCCAGCAAGTGCCATTTTCCAACGATCGAGCACCTATTGCAGGGGATGAACGGTGTAGCGAAATTTCCTAGGTCATGGTGACAGGAAATACCTTAGAAGAACAGGTGGAAAATTTGGAAAAAGGTTGGAGAAACTCAAGGAGGCACAGTTAACCGTAAAAAGAGAGAAATTTGAGTTTTTTAAGAAGGAAATTGAGTATTTGGGGCACGTTATTAGCAAGGAGGGTTTGAAAAAGTCTGAAAAAAGATAAAAGCAATACAAGCGCCAATTTCAAAGACAGTCACCCAAGTATTTACATTTACCGGATTGGTGAACTACTACTCAAAGTTTTCGCCTGGTTCATCCCAGATTTTAAACCCAATTTATAAACTATTGTCAGAAAAAGGAAATTTTAAGTGGGGCAAAGAACAAGTTGCAGCATTTGACCAAATAAAGAAAATTATTGCCAAAGATATAACATTAGCACACTTTAATCCCAGCAAAAAATAGTTTTGATAACAGATGCATCAGATGAAGGGATATCCGCAGGGCTATGCCACGCAGAAAAAGAAGATAGACCAATAGCATGCGTATCAAGTACCCTTATGCCAGCTGAAAAAGGATATTCGGTGTTACATAAGGAAGAATTAGCAATAGTTTTTGGCATTCGAAAATTCAGCCACTATTTACATGGACAAGTTTTACACGGTAGCAGACTGCTTATCCAGATTACCACTGCAAACCCACACCATATCAGACGAAATAGATCACGAAGGATACCTGAATTTCGTAGCAGCAAGCCCAGAATGGCCAGTGGACAACACCAGGGTAGCGAGGGAAACTGAAAAAGACCATGAGTTAAAAAAGGTAAGACAATATATAAGAAACGGATGGCCAAGCAGGGTAGAAGAAACAATAAAACCATATTCTCACAGAAAAGACGAATTAACAATTGAAAACGGCTGTGTTCTATGGGGATATAGAATAGTTATCCCACGTACATTGAGAAAAACAATGCTTAAGGAGCTGCACGAGGGACACTAAAAGCAGTAATTGAGTCAAACCAAAACTCGAATACATCGTAAGTACAAATTTAGAGAGATTTTTAATGAATTATAGAATACAATGCACATCACAAAAGAAACACCAGCGAATAGGATGTTTGGAAGGAAGTTAAGAACTAGGCTAGACTTACCAAAATAGGGGAAAAAATTGATTACATCACAAAAGAACTGGAACAAAAGGAAAAAGCCAGAGGAGGTATTGGAAGAGAATTCGCAGCAAACGAAAAAGTTATGCTACGAGACTACAGAAGGATCAACGAAAAAGGTTGTATAGAAGGTGAAATAGAACAAAAAAGAGGCTGCAGCGCGTACATAACAAAAACAAAAGGACAAACATAGAAACGACTCTCAGATCAGATTAGGAGAAGAATGGTACAGGGAAATGACGTAAAAGATGCTAGTGAAAGTACACAGAAAACAAACTTTAAAATAGCGAAAAAAGGGAGAAACGAGGCAGAAGTCGAAAAAAACGACACACAAGCTGAAGAAAGAGATACGGAGGTGGTAAGAAACGACACAGAGACAGAGAACGCTGCCGATACAAACAGGAGATCAGGAAAAGAAACCTACCCCAAAAACTGAAAGACTTTAAGCTGTAACGCTAGATATAGATATGACATAAAACACAGAGTACAAACAAGTTTAATCCAGTAGGGATGTAATGTGTCTCACCATACCCCCACCATATCCCCATTAAAGCGAGACCGACCGGATGCAGTTCGACACCGACCACTAAACCATAAAGGAAGCAACGTGTATATTGTAAAGGAATGTATTGTTATAATTGTGTAAAGTTGAATGGATGTTAAAAATACAGCGCAGTAGAAAATATCGTGTCTTTAATTAACCTACATTATATAAAATATAACACTAACATTACTTGAATAAAAATATAGGCATTTAGGTTAAAGGTGTTTTTAGCGCACAACAGTTTCGTATTCTTGAGACAAAACAAAAATTGTGCGAGAAAATGTGAAATGACTAAAGTTCTGAGGTTATTAATATAACGTACATATTAAGTTAAATATCTGACAAACGTGGTTGATGTACATTGAGATGAGGTTAAATGGGTTATGGGGTTATGGAATTAGGTGAGTTATGAAGTTGTGATATTTAAGAGCTTGGATTTTTATGTTAAAACTACATTCTTAGGGTTATATGCATTTAATAGCTTAAATTATGTTTTTTAAGGTAATGGCAAAACCCTGATGTGATGGGATTAAATAGACCTCGAATTCGTATTCAGCGACCCCAAAAACATATAGCAAATATGGTCAGGCCCCCAGATCAGAACAAACAAATTTTTTGCGTGGCTTTGTAATTTTTAACTTTGCCTTTTCTGAAAAGGAAAGTCCTCTGGGTCTGAACACAATCGGTTTTGAATCATTTAATTTAATTTTCATTTCAAAATTGGTTGTAATCATCATAAATTCTAATTAAGGCATCTCTAGCTTCT